AATCATTTCAGATTTAAAGAACTTTCAGGAGTTTGGATTCTGAATATGAGCGACTTTTCCTTCAAACTTCAGTAATCAGATGCATTTAACTGAATTCTATTTAAAGGTATCAGAGTAAATGGGGTTTAAATCTTCTTCCAGTTATGCTTTTCTTAGAATCTCACAATAATTTGTGTTTATGTGGAAAAAAAAGGACATTAATTCTTTTAAGGTCCAATTATTATTATTGTCTGAATCCCAAAAAACATCTTAAAAGTTTTTTTCATCGATCAAAACAGCAAAGAAACATTTTTCAGAAACCAACAGATGCTGGATAGATAAAAGCGTTTAGTTTAATATAAAAGGAGTGAAAATAGAGCAGGAACTGTAATAATTTATTCATGTTTAAGGCTGAAACCAGCTCTGACAACTGAAGCGCTTTGAAACCCAGAAGATATTAGGCTTCATGTTGAGCCCACATCCCTGCTTTACATCACATTTACAAAAATAACCTTTAAATACAGATCCAATGACGCTGTCATGGCGCTGAAACAATCAGTGGGCGGAGCTAAAAGAAGAAGGAATGAACTTTAAGGCTACAGGTGGACTGCATCATTCAGAGTGCTGGACGGAGATGTTTAAGACATGAGCTGCACCGCTGTGAGGAGGAACCGGAAGCAAACCAGTCTACTGACTGAGCTCTGACTGGTTCCAGTTCAGACGCCAGGATGGAGTTAAAAGTCGGATACTGTTTGCTGCTGCAGGAGAAACACCTTTGATGCTGCTTAACGAACTTTACAGGAAAACATCAGACATCATCCTGGAGCTGCTCTGATTCTGCCTCTGTTCCCTTTTCAGATAAAACTTCTTCCTGCAGGAACAGAACCAGGAACCAAGAACCGTTTGGTTATCTGACCATCAAACAGGAAAGAAACCAATCACACGTTACCAGCATGTTACAGCGTTTCACCACATCGCATCTTTTTCTTTTAAATCAAGGAACCAGACCTGGAATCATTTGCATTATTAAAGGGAGCTGCATGCAGACCAGAACATCAGGAGCAGCAGGATGGAGGAGAAGCAAACATGGCTGCCAGCAGTGGACTGAGAGGGGACAGAGATCATCCAACCAGACATGAATCACTTTGGTCACCATGATAAATAAAATATAAACAAAAGGAAATCAGCAGCTCTTCTGGATCTCCAGGCAACTGAAACGGTTCGAGTAAAATTATAAAAACTGCTCCTGATGATAATAAAGCTGCTTCTCCACCAGTTCACCATTCAGCTTTTATGGATCCGTCAAGAAATCTTCCTACAAATGAAGCAGGAATCCTGTTACTCTTCTAAATAAAACTAGATCCCATCTCAAATTGAAAAAAGTCTCCCTAAAACTAAAAGTTGAACCTAAAACGACTCCTCGGTCCACCAGGGAGTAAAACTGAACCTTTAGAGCCGAATTAAAGTGACTTAGAGACAGAAAGAGGCTAAAAACAAACATTAAACCAGCAGGTCGGTTCAGAACATGGAGGAAAAGTTTCACAGCCTGATTGTTCACAGCAGATTATTTGGTTTTCCTCAACAGATTAGAGGAGGGAGGGTCAGTGTCTGACTGAATGAGCCTAAAACAAGATCAAACAAAAACAAAACAACTGATCAAAGAAACATTTCACAAACATTCACATCCTGTCAGTGTTCAGGCTGTTCTCCAGGAATCATCCTGTCAGCGTTCAGCCTGTTCTCCAGGAATCATCCTGTCAGTGTTCAGGCTGTTCTCCAGGAAACGCTG